GGAATAGAACAGCACTACTCTAAACTGCTCATTTTGTACTGAGGAAACTAACGAAAGACCAAAGAGATGAAGTGAACAATTTGGTTTGCATGTTTTCTCCCCTCCAAATATCATGTTGAAAAGTGACCTCCATTGTTGGAAGTGGGCCTAGTGGGAGGTGTTTGGGTCATGGGATCAGATCCCTCATGAATGGCTTAACGCCATGCCCTTGGTGACAAGTGAGTTCTCACTCAGTGAGTTCATGCACAATCTGGTTGTTTAAAAGTGTGTGGCACCTCCCCTCTCTTGCCATGTGAAATGCCCAATACCCTTTGCCATGCGCCATGATCCTAAGCTCACCAGAAGCCTCACCAGAAGTAGATGTCAGCACTATGCTTCTCATATGCCTGCAGAACCATAAGCCAATTAAATCTCTTTTCTTTTTTATTTTTTTTGAGACAGGGTCTCACTCCCACTCCCATTGCCCAGGCTAGCATACAGTGGTGCAATCACAGCTCACTGCAGCCTCAACTTCCTGGGGTCAGGTAATCCTCCACCTCAGGGTCCTGAGTAGCCAGAACTACAGGTGTGCACCACCATACCTAGCTATTTTTTTATATTTTTAGGAGGGAGTGCAATGACACAATCTCAGCTGACTGCAACCTCTGCCTCTCAGGCTCAAGCAATCCTCCCACCTCAGCCTCCTGAGTAGCTGGGACTATGAGTGTGCACAACATATCTGGCTAATTTTTGTACTTTTTTAGAGACAGGATTTTGCCATATTGCCCAGGCTGGTCTTGAACTCCTGAGCTCAAGTGCTCCTGCCTTGGCTTCCCAAGCCAGCCATATATTTGGCCACTATACCCAGCCATATATTTCTTCTCTTTTTTTTTTTTTAGACAGACTCTTGTTCTGTTGTCCAGGCTGGAGTGCAAAGACATGATCTTGGCTCATTGCAACCTGTGCCATTGGGGTTCATACACTTCTCCTGCCTCAGCCTCCCGAGTAGCTGGGATTACAGGCACATGCCACCACACCTGGCTAATGTTTGTGTTTTTAGTAGAGACGGGGGTTTTACCATATTGACCAGGCTGGTCTCAAACTCCTGACCTCAGGTGATCCACCCCCATGGCCTCCCAAAGTGCTGGGATTACAGGTGTGAGCCACCGTGCCCGGCCCCAGCCAGGTATTTCTTTATTGCACTACAAGAACAGACTAACACAGTGACTATTATCAGATTTTGCAGTGAGTTGGTGGCAGAGCCATTGCTTGGTCCAGGGGCGCTCTTATCTGTGCACCACATTTTTCTCTTTGCCATTTTCCAATGGAAATCTCTTCCATTGTCAAGTGCTTCTGTGATAAGAAACCTTAGAGGCATTCTTTGAGTCATAAAAAAAGCATCACCAGTCTGGGTAACAGCGAGACCTCGTTTCTAAAAATAATAATAATAAACAAATAAAAAAAAAATAGCCGGATGTGGTGACACATATCTGTAGTCCCAGTTACTCGGGAGTCTGAGGCAAGAGGATCATTTGAGCCCAGGAGTGGGAGGCTGCAGTAAGCTATGATTGTGCCACTGCACTTCAGCCTGAGTGACAGAGTGAGACCCCATCTCTAAAAAATAAAAATAAAACAAAATAAACATCAGTGTTCAATTGTCACTCTTTTCCCTTACTCTTCCCCTTTTTTATTCATATGTTAGTTTTCTGTCACTACCACAGTAAAAATCCCAGTCTTTATCTTCAAACTAGTTTACTACAACCTTCCTAAGCAATCTTCTTAACCCTGCTGATATCTGCAAACTGTGTCAAACACTTTCCTTTGCTCTCTGCCTTGGGACCCAATGCCCTATCCCTGATTTTCTCCTGCTGCAGGCTGCTTCTCCCCCACTTACTGCATGTGTTTTCTATTTTCTTACTCATGGCCTCTGTTCACTCGCTTACTTGCTCATTCACTTACTAAGTGTCAAGTACTACTTTGGGTACCAGATACACGAAGAGAAAAAAGAAACTGTCTCTGCCCTCCAAGAGCTCACAGTCTAGGATCTGTCTCATCAATTGATCATTATAATATGACAGAGTAAGAGCAGTGACTGAGAAATGCATAGTGTATTGAGGAACTGAGGAAAGCACCTAACCCAGCCTGGGGAACCACAGAGGATGTGTTATAGGAGACAATCCTAAATTAAGCTTCATTGGATGAGCAGAGGGAGCCAGATAAAGAGGGCATTCTAAGCAGAGGGGACAGCATGAGCGAAGGCGCAGAGAACAGAAGCAGTATGCTTTATGAAACTTGGTGCTGCTGCAGGACCGTGGGAGATGAAGCTGCAGGGTCTCTTTAGGCGGAGATCACACAGCCCTGTATATGCCAACCCAGCAAGCTATGAATGTGCCAGACAGACAGCATGGAGCAATGAAGGGTTTTGAGCTGGAGAGGGAAACTATCAGATGGGTGGTTTAGATAGCCACTCTGGCTGGTAAAGATCTGTGGGGACAAAAGAGAGGCAGTGGAGAATGAGCAGTAGGTTTTTCAGTGGTTCAGATGAAGACTACGAGCACGAGGAATGGAAGACAGACCAAGAGGAAGAGTTGGAGTCAAGAAAATGTAGGCTATAAAACTGGTATGACTTGGTCATGGAACATCAGGTGCGGAGTAGGAGCGGTTTCTTACATGAGAAGTTTCTCACATGGTTGACTGGTGGGATGACAGTGCTAATCACAGGAGAGAAGATAAGAAAAAAGGCTCAGAGGTCCAGCACCAAGGACTGCAACCTTCCTAATGCAATATATGGACTCTGGGTGATAACGATCCACCAATGTAGACTCATCAATTTTTTCTTTGAGACAGGGTCTCACTCTGTCACCCGGGCTGGAGTGCAGTAGTATGATCTTAGCTCACTGAACCGTCTGCTCCCAGGCTTAAGCAATCCTCCCACCTCGGCCTCCCAGGTAGCTGCAACCACAAGTACTCATCACCACATCCAGCTAATTTTTACATTGTTTTGTACAGACAGGGTTTCGCCATGTTATCCAGGCTGGTCTTGAACTTCTGGGCTCAAGTGGTCCTCCCACCTCAGCCTCCCAAAATGCTGGGATTAGAGGTATGAGCCAACGTACCCAGCTTTAGACTCATCAATTAAACTCAACAAAACAATGTGCTGCTCTGGTGTAGGATGCTGACAGTGAGGGAGGCTGCATGTGTGTGGGGTTAGGGGCTATAGAAACTTTTCACTCACTTTTGCTGTCAACCTGAAACTGCTGTAAAATATGAAGTCACTAAACAACAGCAACAGAAAGGCCAGAGATGTCAGAAAAGATGTTTAGTTTAGTTTAAGATGCACTGGGCTCTTATGCCTGTAGGAGACCCAACCGGGTAAGTCCACAGTCTGTGTTTGGGTATATGATGAGGCTCAAGTACACATCTAAGACAGAGTGACAAATATGGAAGCCCTTGGTTTAGAGGTGCTCCTATTATCTAGTTTTTCTTGAAGGAGGCGAAAGTATGTGAGGCAGATAAAAGGAGAGACTGTCCCAACACCCCTCATGGGAGGAAGAGAAAGGACTTGACAGCCTCTGAGACTCCAAAAGCTGCAGTCTTAGACCCCAGGGAAAGGCCCAGGGAAAAAGTCGAAAATCAAAGAAGAGGCAGTGAAGGAAAAAAAATCCTTTGCTGGAGAGAAAAGACCTGAGACAGACTCCAAAAAAGCCAGAGACCAAGTTCTTTGCTGCTCCTAGTTAATCTGTGAGAAAAGCTTCCCACACTCTCCCCAAAATGGCCCCCAAACCCCAAAAACCAAAGTATCCCAGTCAACCTAAATTCAGTAATTCAAATGGAAGGAAACATCAGAGCTACCCAAAGAGCTTTTTAGAAGCTTTGCAACCTTCTCCAAGTGGGAGACCTGGACTTACAGATTTTTAAAAACCTCCATAGGTAATTCTGACATATGTTCCTGGGTATAAGAACCAGTGGTTCAAAGTAAATCTATTTTTCAATTGTCAAAAAAAAAAAGAGAGAGAGACTTTATTTTCAGCATGGAAAGGAGAGTAAAGGCGGGGGCCATGGGTGTGCCCCACTAGACTGCCAGGAGAGTGCAAGGTTCCGGGTCGGCTCTGGAGAGGCCCTTGAGGGTTTTGGTTGTCCCATGGCAAACAGAGCCCTTCCGGGTCGTGTTTCTCCTTCCCTGTCTTTGGAATGCAGGTGTGCTCACATCCTCGACTGCTGCATAAATCAGATGGTTGACATGTTCTTTTAGCCAAGCAGCTGTACACATGCCATACACCTGCTAAATGTTCTATTTGTCCCTGAGGGGAAAACAGAACGTGATCTAAGTGTGTTCCTAGGCCTGTACTGATGCACTGAAATCTGACCTCCCGCAGCAGTTTTTAACTAGGGCTGTGTGTCAGAATTATCTGTGGAGACATTTTCAAACCACTCTAGCCTGCCCCTGTACCGCTCTCTCCATCAGGGGATTCTGATCTTGGTGAAAGAGAGTCTGATGCAGTGGTACCTAGGCACGTGTGTTTTCAAAAGTTCCACAGGCGATGTGAGAACTCTTGCCTTTGGGAGTTCAAGTCTGTCCTGTAAGGTGCTTTCCAGGTATTATCTGATGGCCAAAAAGGTTGTCTTCCATCCACAGGCCATAGGCATCTTTCAACAACGGCTAGTGATTTTACTGTTTATTTTTCCTCATCACACTTACTGACACTTGACATTACGTTATTTATTTAGCCCTTTATTTAGTTATCGATTTTCCCCACTAGAATTGTAAATATTCTGAAAGGAGACTTCATCTAGTTCACCGTTGTATTCTCAATACAATATCTGGAATGAAACAGGTACTCCATAATAAATAGACTTCTTGTTGAATGAACCTTATTCCATGTGCTATTGCCTGTTACTTAACAGGAAATGTCCCTCAGTTCTCAGTGTGATAATTCTCTTTTGACCTTTCAAATATAAACGAAAACCAAACACCAAATTGAAATATGTAAAATAGTACAGTATGTGTAAAATTTGCCTACCTTAGCATAGTCCAATCTTCCTTTTTCTTGAGCCTACAAAAGAAGAGGGGAAAATTAATTTGTTACTTCTCTAAAAGTTTAGTGCTTCTATAATTTTTGTTCTCAAAGAATAGAACTCAGCTTCTCTGTCCCCCTTTCCCTCTCTCTATTTAATATACATATTGAACTATATATTATAATCCATGTAAATTGCAAGCATATAGAAAAGTTAAATGAACAGTTCACTGAGCACGCATAGACACTCTATCTAGATCTGGCAGGAGTGGATGTCACAAGTCTTCACGTTACATGCTTCAGCACGTACCTTGTACACATGTGGCATCTCATACGTCACCCCATGACCACAATCAAAATTGATGAACTCACAATAATGCCATATCGTCTAACACAAATCTATATTCAAATTTCTCCAACTTTTCCAAAGTAGCTTTTTTTTCCCCAAAACCAGAATTAATAAAGATTCACACATTGCATTCTGGTTTTATGTCTCTTTTGTTGCCTTTTATTTATTATTACAGTTTCTTCTTTTTTGCCTAGACTGGTCTCTCCCCATTCTTCACAGAATGAAAATAAAAGCCATTAGCTTATTTTCATAAAAACCATTGACTTTTTGAGAAGACAAGGATAGCTGTTTTACAAAATTCCTTTTTCTTCTTTCTTCATTGCGTCATTTAACTTGTTTCTGTTTTGCTTATAAACTGAAAGCTGGGTCTGGAGAAGCCTGCTAAGATTTAGGTTAAACATTTTTGGCAAAACTACTTTATGTGGAAATATTACACACTCCATCAATTCAGGAGGCACAAAATGTCAGGCTGTTCCACTCTTAGTAATGCTGTAAATTTGGCTGGGTGTGGTGGCTCACGCCTGTAATCCCAACACTTCGGGAGGCCAAGGCAGGCAGATCACCTGAGGTCAGGAGTTCGAGACAGCATGGCCAACATGGCGAAACCCTGTCTCTACTAAAAATACAAAAATTAGTCAGGCGTAGTGGCAGGCGCCTGTAATCCCAGCTACTCAGAAGGCCGAGGAGACAGAAAAATCGCTTGAACCCAGAAGGCGGAGACTGCAGTGGGCCAAGATCGCGCCACTGCACTCTTGCCTGAGTGATAGAGCAAGACTCTGTCTCAAAAAGAAAAAAATCTTAACATAACAATCAGGGTTAGTTTTTGCTGGCAGGTCAGTTTGTGTTCTGCAGATGTCAGGATAAAATTTCTCCTGCCACATCTGCATAGAACAAGAGTCTTCCAACTTACAAACGGGTTAGATCTCGAGACCATTTTGCTCCTGAGTCCAAATTTACATTATACAGGTAATTAACATAGGCAGATTACTCCCATGAGAGAAAAAAAAGTTCATAATATTGGTCCTAAAGCTGGGCACAGTGGCTCACATGTGTAATCCCAGCACTTTGGGAGGCTGAGGCAAGAGGATAACTTGAGCCCAGGAGTTCAATACCAGTCCTGGCAACACAGTGAGACTCCATCTCCACAAAAAATAAAAAAATTAGCTGGGTGTGGTGGTATGCGCCTGTAGTCCTAGCTACTCAGGAGGCTGAGGTGAGAGGATTGTGTGAGCCTGGGAGGTTGAGGCTGTAGTGAGCCATAGTTGCACCACTACATTCCAACCTGGGTGACAGAGTGAGACCCTGTCTCAGAAAAAAAAAAAAAAAAAAATTGGTCCTGACCCTTCTTGCTGCTTTAGAATCCTTTAAAAATTTATCTGAAGATGACTGCATTTTGTTTTTTTTTTTCTTTTTTGAGACAGAGTCTTGCTCTGTCCTCCAGGCTGGAGTGCAGTGGTGTATCTTGGCTCACTGCAAACTCTATCTCCCGGGTTCAAGCAATTCTCCTGTCTCAGCCTCCTGAGTAGCTGGGATTACAGGCACCCACCACCATGCCCAGCTAATTTTTGTATTTTTAGTAGAAACAAAGGTTTCGCCATGTTGGCCAGGCTGGTCTCGAACTCCTGACCTCATGTGATCCACCCGCCTCAGTTTCCCAACGTGCTGGGATTACAGGTGTGAGCCACTGCGCCCGGCCCTTTTCTTATTTTCATAGTAAGAAACTTATAAGGGCCGGGTGCAGTGGCTCAAGCCTGTAATCCCAGCACTTTGGGAGGCCAAGACGGGTGGATCACGAGGTCAGGAGATCGAGACCATCCTGGCTAACATGGTGAAACCCCATCTCTACTAAAAAATACAAAAAACTAGCCAGGTGAGGTGGCGGGCGCCTATAGTCCCAGCTACTCGGGAGGCTGAGGCAGGAGAATGGCGTAAACCTGGGAGGCGGAGCTTGCAGTGAGCTGAGATCCGGCCACTGCACTCCAGCCTGGGCAACAGAGTGATCCGTCTCAAAAAAAAAAAAAAAAAAAAGAAACTTATAAAACACTGTTCACACATAGCTGTTGGCACCATCACAAACCACTCTAAAATCGTGATTAAATATTTTCATTGAAACAAAAGGCCTCTGCAACCAATCTACTATAAAAAAGAATAAGGTCTTCAGTCTGCTTTTCGAAGGTTTTTAGTGTTCTAGGATTTTCAGTGAACTAAGAGTTTGAACTTAGTACTGAGATGCATTGTACCAACAGGAATATGAGTGAGTTCTTAAAGAAACTTTAAATCCAAGCTATTAGTCTCTCTGCTTAGATATTTTATATTTATTTGTCTGTCTGTTTATGGTCATCTTTTCCCAAAATAGTTTTATCTACACTGAAAATCCCACTATAGTAACTTCTGCAGAAGTGGTAAGGAAACCCTGAACACATCTGTATTGCTCACTTATGACCTAGCTACTCACTCTGATATTGTCCAAATGTGGACTGGCCTTGATCTTATGAATAGTCCACAGATGACCTGTGACCAAAATTTCAGCAGCAGCACTTTCCCAACATGCTTAGTCTTTCAGTTCTCAAACTCGCAGCTGACTCTTGAATTCATTTAGGTTAATGGACATCTGACATTGAGGCTGATCCTGTGGCCACAAGTTTTCCACTTTTTCCACTGGCCATCCTTTTCCTTGTCTCTTGCTGACTACTATGAATTGCTCAGGCGCAGCACTTTTCAAATGACACTAGGATATTTTGAAATATATATTTGGTCATAGCCCAGTTTTCTGGCATACAACTCCTAAAATCTTCAGAAACTCGCCAAGTGATGCCTTTTTGTACGAGCTGACTGATGGCTGGAAACTCCCGACTTCAGGATGGGGACTGGTCATGGCAAAGACCAAGGCAGGATTAGAAGGTTAGAGTTTTCAGCCCACCCCCAAATTTCTGGGGAGGGGAGAGGGGTTGAAGGTTAAGTTGATCACCAATGGCCAATAGCTTAATCAATCATACCTATGCAACGAAGCTTCCATAAAAACCCAAAAAGACAGAATTTGGAGAACTTCTGGGGAGCTGAACACATGGAGGTTTCTATATAGTGGTGCACTGGAGAGGAAATGGAAACCCCACGCCCCTTCCCACATCTTAACTTTTGCATCTACTCATCTGTGTCCTTTGTAATATTCTTTAAATAAACTGGTAAGTACAAGTGTTTCTGTTCCAAAATTCACATAGCTATGAAAAAGAAAGTGTTTCCCTGAGTTCTGGGAGTTGCTCTAGCAAATTAACTGAACCCAACGAAGTGGTCGTGGGATCCTCACTTTACAGCCGGTCAATCAGAAGCACAGGTAACCTGGAGCTTGTGAATGGCATCTGAAGGCAGGGGTGGGGTAAGGGGTGGGTGCCGTCTTGAGCCCTCAACCTGTAGGATCTGACACTATCTCCAGGTAGATAGTGTCAAAATATGGTACGTGCCTGTTGTCCCAGCTACTTGGGAGGCTGAGGTGAGAAGATCGCTTAAGGTCAGGAGTTTGAGGCTGCGGCGAGCTATGACTGTGCCTGTGAGTATCACTCCACGCCAGCCTAGGCAACAAAGTGAGACCCCCATCTCAAAAAAAAAAAAAAAGTGTCGGAATAGAAGTAAGTTAGAGACACTCAGCTGGTGTCAGCTTGCTGAAGTGATCACTTGCTTGTTGATGGGGAGAAATTCTCGCATGTTGGGTCACAGAAGTGTCCTGTGTTGACTATTGTTGAGACTGTATAAAACACTTTTGAGTGTGTTTTCTTCCACTCACAGAGGCACAAACTGGGAGTTCTAGAGAATTGTTCCTGTGGTCAAACAACTCAACCCTGAGCACATCTGTCATTTCCTCACTGTCAATGTTGCCTCTCTTCTAATCATCTCCTCTTCATGTTCTCTCAATATTCTCATCGTCCAGTGCTTATCATGCAGTGCTTAAGAGTGTTGAAAGTAGCATTTGTTGAAAGAAAGTTGAACTTCTGTAGTCGAAGACTGAAAGGCAAACCATGGAGAAACTATGACTGACAATAACTTAGGGGTGGAATTTTCCTTTTGGCTGCATTGAGCCACTTCCCACTCTGTCTCAAAAAAATTCAGCAGGTAAGAAGACTGAATATAACGTTCTTTACTGATAAGGACGTCTAGAGTAGGCCTATCACAAATTTCTGTAAAACCATTTTTCCCACCCCGTACTTTGTTTATAGACTAATCATCTTAGAAAATGCTAGTACTTTGAAGTACCTGTGCTTAATCACAACTTATTTTCAAACCTCAAGCTCACTCTACTTTGTTTTCTTAGCTTGGCCACTACCCTGTCACCCAGTAGGGATACGCTGTTGGGGATGATGGCAGAGAAACTCCATGGATATAATCGAGATCTGCTCAACATCGGCTCCACAATGGTTTGAAAGCTGAGAGAGTAGAAGCTTACATAAAATGACAACACCATTGCCAGTCATTATAATCTGAACATGCAACTATTGATATGTCTTACCCAAATGTCCTTTTCATTTTGTCACAACAAACATTCTAGCTCTGTGAAATCATTTTACTCTTGATTACCTTAGCTTGCACATAAAAGTATCATTTTAGGAAAAAACTCTGGTAAATATTTAAACTTTTATAGGTATATAATACATATATTATATGTATGTGTGTATACACACACACACACACATATTTTCAG